ACTTACAACACCATGGGCAACCCTTGGGTGGTGCGTGTTTGTATAAGCTTACCGTGCGTCAGCCCAAGGGAGTATGTGTCCAGCCGTGCGTCATTCTAACGTCGGCTGGTGTCCATGCGCAAGGCTGCAATTGAGTTTTGAACCCGCAACCTCATACCACAATGCGCATTTCCAACCGGTGTTCTAACCACTGAGGTACATCAACTGGAGACCATTACTAATACTGACTAGGAGGATCCAGCTGACTATGGGGCTCTGTGAAACCGCACGTTCATTGAACGCGGGTTTTCCGTTCAGAAATTGAACGGAATGCACGTGCGTTCAATGAACGGGACCGAACGCGGAGTTTAATTCCACGCGGAAAAAAAAAAAAAAAAAAAAAAAAAACCCTAAAAAAATACCGAAAAAACAATATGTTATGAATAAAAATAAAATAAACAACATTTGCCTGAGCATTACATCTAAATTCGTTACCAAATTGGAAAACAAAAATAGAAAACCAAAAATAGAAAAAAGTAAAAAAAGAATTAAAATTAGTGAGCGAACACGATTTGACACCGCCATCTTTGGCGATTTTTCATTTTTTTTTGCCTTAGYAAAATGACTCCAAAATTGAGAGGCATGTACCTCACATCATACAGAACTCATAAAAAAAAATCAGAAAAAAAAGTTATTTTTAGGCATCGAAATGATTTAAAAAAAAAAACTAAAAAAATAAAAAAATAATTGAACGCCGTTCAATTTTGAACGCGAACGCGCAATCCGCGTTCAAACGCACATTTGAACGCGAACGCGTGCTCACGGCATTCAAACGGTTACAGAGATGGGGCTCGTTAGATACTCCTCGGGCGCGTAAATCCCCCGAGGAAAATTTCTTTCCACCTATCCTCAGGGATGAAAACGAAAAAGAAATGTGAACCGTTTCCTTGGGGAATCCTCGGGGCATTCTCGGGTTACAGCCATTTGGTGACATTCCTCAAGGAACCTCCCAAGGTCCCTTGGAGGTCAAGGATCCGCGATAATCGGAGCGGCGAGGGCACTTGTCGTCGGTTGGACCATTGGAGTTCCTACCGGGCAGCGCACGGACATCTTGGGTCTTCAACATTCGGCTTCCAGGAACCTTACGCCAACGGTAACCGTTGGTGGCCGGTCGTCCCCTGCGGACGTCGTCGACCAGTGTTCTTCGTCTCAGTGCGTGCCGCCAAACAGAAAGGGGTTGAACAGTTGTCAAATTTGAATACTTCAGCCGACCCCCCTTGCTCTGATCGCCCACAATATTCCGAGACGAAAAACATTACAAAGCGTTTGTCCCATGCTGCGGCCTGCCGTTTGCAGCCCTCTTCGTCCCCGTTTGCTGGAGGTCTACCATTGTCGCTTAGCTACTGCCCTTCCCCACTTGCCTTTCATGGCCGACGTCTTTCGAAGGCGGCCGCTGTTGCTCCTTGTCATCCTTTTGCTTGTCCTTGCCGTCTTCGTCCACGTTTGCATCCTCGGCAGGTTGCCTGGACGTACACGTAACTTGATGTAAGAGGTGGTCTGTGAAGAAGGACGTCAGCATGGACAAGCGGCACGCGAAGAGAAGGTATTCAGTGAACCACTCCAGAAGCCACCACGCAGGCCACGGCCCGGCTCGCAGTGCAAGGGCGTACAGCCCGTTAGAGTGTGTGTGTCGTATGCTGTCCTCTACCGTCTGGTCCCTTCACCGTCGTCATTCGGTGGACCTTTACCGTCGTCGTGGAATTACGGCCCTGCCGTATGTGTTGTTGATGGCCGATCTTTATTGAAGGTTGCCACTGCTGCTCGTAGTCACAATTGTGCTTGGTGTGGTCCTCCTATTCCACGTGTGCTTCCTCTATTGTTGATGATCGATCTCTATCGAAGGCCTCCAGCAGAGAAGACGAGGGATCGACACTGACTGCAGTCAACATCGACATCGTTAGTGCATCCCGAAAGACATGTGGCGACATACCCAACTTCTCCCAGAAGTACTCCTCTGTCGCATCATCGCATTGCCAGAGATCCTCCCAGTGCTCCCACGCCCCCCCCGTCCTCCTTTTCATCCACCACATCGGCGTCGCTTGTGGAAGAACACTGCAACCCATGGCGCAGCATACCTAAACTGCAGCCTCGGTGATGGCCACGGTATCCAGCCCTTCGACCGGGACTTGATGAAGCGTCTTCCTCCTCCATGCGCGGATTTGCACTCTCATTCTGCCCAATGCCCTCTCCTGCTGACAACGAAAGAGCACGACCGTCACGGCCGCCGCCACGACCGTCTTCTCGATTATCGTCAACTTCGCATGTCTATCGTCGCTGCCACCCTTCATCGGCATGTGTGCTGCAATGCTCATGAACCACGAAAATACAACAGCCTACCAGCTCGCCACGATCACGGTAACCTCAGCGCCAAGTCCCCGATGACGTTCCCCGCGTGTGCTCGAGTCAACACATAGGGGTGGCGGCATGCAGAGGCGATGGCGATGGACCTTCAGAGGGCGCTCACAAATTTGTGACGACGTACGAGGACTCCACTGCACTGCTGCAAATGCCTGTTTCCACCGTCGCAGATATGGATGCCACCTGCCCCGCATTGCCGTCGTGACGTCCAACACCCAATTTGAAATTTGATTTTCGAACAGGGAGGTCCATTGCTTTTTAAGGGTTTTTTTTGTCCGGTCGCCAGCACCTTTCAAAATTTCCCACCTTCGGCAGCTGGACCACACTGTAGCAAGACAGATATCACCCAATGGACCAAGGCATTGCCCCCCCCACGGCTGACTATAATATCATGAAAATGGCCGCTGGCGGCCGAAAGGAATCATCCTTGGGAGACCACCCCAAGGATAGGTGGAACGACGGCGGGAATTTCCTTCAAAACCCCCAAGGAAACTTCCTTCAGCCCCACATTGCAAGGAGTGCCTAACGAGCCCCTATTGGTTAGGCAGGCAAGTGGCAGTCAGGAGGTCGTGGGTTCAATCCCCATGGCCACCTGCGGCACTCTTATATTTCCCTCCCTATCCCCATCCATCTTCCTTCTTTGGGGAAACTGCTCCTTAGTCACCTTCTTAGTTTGGAATAGGCAAGAAATGATAGAACGGTGCCTATGTCATTGTTCGAGTTTCAGAATGTGCAACTTTAGCGGGCCATGGAAACTGCGGCCGTTTTTTTGAAGCGAGATTAATGCAGATTTAGCAGCAGCTTTTTTTGCCCTGTTTTGAGAACTGCTAAAGTCGCCTACCTTCTTCCCCCGAATACAACGTACGGTCATTATAGCCGTATTTGGGGTATCTTTCAGTCTAAATACAGCTATAATGACTGTAAGTTGTGTTCAGGGGAAGAAGATAGTAGAAACACTGGGTGGGTGTGACCCAGGAGGCGTTGCCCCTTTTTCCTTTTTTCTTCCAACAATCGCGCCCACCTGCAACAGATAGGGATAAGAAGCTGCAGCTGTTTGCAGGAGACTGGCGTCGCTGGCCCCCCTCTTATTCGTGGGGAGCAGCCGTCCCACAAGTACATCATAAAACAGATTATCATGATCCAGCCTCCGTGCCCACAGAAGCTCAACATTCAGTTTCTGTCTCTACTGTAGCATTGAATTTCCTGTTATAGCGGTCCCACATACCCCTCCACCCCGCGAGACCAGGTACTCATGAAACAATTTAGTACGATCCGGCCTCTGCCGCCTAAGACGCTTGTCATCCGTTTGTGGCACGGCTGTGAAGTTGTCTTCGTAGCAACTGCTGTGGTTCCGGCACCCCGGGGGACTAGCTCCCACCGCAGGTATTTCTGTCGTTGCTCCACCTTTCTGCTGCCCCTGGGCTCCCTCGAACCGCATCTCTGACGGAATCACATCATTGCATCTTGGTACCTGAAAAGCGGCGGCTCCCAGCTAGTATACTGTCCACCCGCCGCCTGTCCCATACATGTCTTCCTACCATGGAGGCCATTTTGTCGTATTCCTTTGGAAAAAAAGATCCATCGATCCAAAGGCTGCCCAAAAGGCCCACTTGGGCATTCAGGAGGTTATGGGTTCAAGCCCCATGGCCGCCTGCAGCGCACTTAGTGCCAACGGACTGTGATAGTCCTCTGGATACCCCTGATTGGTATTAGCGGGGTCTATGACCAACACGGGTGTGAGTGTGAGCGCGAGTGGGTTGTGTGTGGTGTGTGGGAGAGTGTTGGCCATAGCCTCTGCTGCTACTCGATGAAGGGTGGGGGGCGATGAGAAAGGGAGGCACAGCTACTGGCAGGTCTTGGTCTTCGGCGACTATGTCAGGGCCTGAGTTCGGAAAGGCGTTCGTAACTCAGGCCGGCAGTGGTGTCAGGGCGGAGGTTTCGTTAAGGCGGTTGTTTTTTTTTGTTTGTTTTTTTTTCCCGTTAGTCGCGCCGCGGTGGCAAGGAGGTTT